AAAAAAAACTTTAATAAATAAATAAATAAATTAAAAAAAAATAAAATAAAATTCAAAATATTAAGGTTAAAATGACTATAAATATCATCTTTCTGTGAGCATATGTTCAACTAAAACACCCTTAAATTGCTAGGAATGTAAACTGATATATTCATTTTGGGGAAATATTACATGGTACTTACTAACTTTGAATGTTTATTTCATTTATGACCCTGTTATTGTGATTCTAGATAAATACACAATAGAATTAACACCGTATTGACCCAAAGACCTCTATAAGAATGTTTCTAGCTACTTATCTGCAATATCCAAACACTGAAACAATAACAAGACAAAATATAAATTCCTATCAAAATAGATTAAATGCATAATATATCTTCAAAACAAACAAGGGTAACTACTGAAACATGAGACACAATGGATGAATCTCATGAATCTAAACTGAATCAAATAAATCAAATAATTATGAATATGCTATCACTTCTATTGAAGTAATCAGTGAATGGAGCAGGGATAACTCAGCAATGTGAAACCCACCACACTGCATCAAACTACACACACTCAAACACAGAGAGAGAGAGAGAGAGAGAGAGAGAGAGAGAGAGAGAGAGAGAGTCCAAACAAAGCAGCTGGTCATTCTGCCCTAATAACTCCCTAGCAACAGCCTAGCAACACATCCTGGAATGAAGGAAGTGAGCCAATCCAGCCTGGCCAGTTTTAGGTGAATATGCAGTAAGGGGAACTGTGTCCTTAAAATGAAGTTTTAGAAGAAAATCTTCTACTTGTCATGTTATTCCTGTGCATGATTGGCCTGTATCCCATGCATCACAGCAAAGGATACACTCAAACAAATTCTTATGTGACTCAAGACTAGGAATCAAAGGAGAAAATAACCCACACCCTAACCCTATCAATTAGTTTTCCTTCTTCCTGTACCCACAAAACAGAAGCTCAGAGGCTCTTAAGCAAATCTTTGTTAGGCCTGTTTCCCTTACAATATACCCAATCTATCTATACTTTCTCTTTGCTTTTCAGTAAAATCCTTTGTTTACCTTGTCTTATTTTACATGATGCCAACAACCTGAAAACTCATGGTCCATTCATCAAACACCATTAATACTTTGGTACTATATAAGTATCAGCCATGATTGATTTGAGATGGCCATAATTATAATAGTGGTTAAGCATTGTGGCATTGTGAGGAAGGAATATAGAGTCTTTTGGAATTATGTGACTGTTTGGAATCTTAATATAAATGTTTATTACTTTAGTTTAGCAGCACCTAAAGACTTTTAAATATGAGCTTGCACACATGTTATCCCTTGAAAAAAATCAAAGCAAAAAAAAAGAGAGAAATGGAGCTTCAACAAGAGGCACTTAGAGCAAGTGAAAAGAAGTAAAGAAATATTACTGCTTACTGGAAGCCAAAAGAAATATGAATGAAAAGAAGGAAGCCATATACCAGCTCATAGCATGGATGAAGATGGCAGTTTAGAACTGATCCCTAGATGTAGCCATGGAAGTCATTAGAAACTTTAGTGAAATTCCTTTGATAGACCAGTGAAGGAAAATCCTTGTTTGTCATGGGTTTCTAGAGAACTTTGTTTTTTATTATTTATTTATTTATTTATTAAATATTTCTGTCTCTTCCCCACCTCCACCTCCCCTTTCCCTCCTCCTCCCCCAATCAAGTCCCCCTCCCTCGTCAGCCCAAAGAGCAATCAGGGCTCTCCATCCCGTGGGAAGTCCAAGGCAAACCCTCTAGAGAACTTTGAAATAAATGAATTGAGATTACAAAGATGTATGATTTGAATACTTTCACAGAGCAGGCAAAACAAAGGTGGAGGAGAGTCAGGATTTAAGAAGGATGAGAATTACAGAGGCATGGTTCTGGGGGTGAAGGTAGCTTCAATCCAGTTCACAAATGTTGAGAGTAGCTTGGGAAAGAAACATGGACACTAGGCACAGGGTAAGAAGGCCAACATTGGTGAGAAAATGTCATGAGAAGTCTTATTCTGTTCTTATTTCTCTACTTTTCCCAATTACATTATTTACTTTCTTATTACTATGATGTAAATATAAAAGAACTTTAAAAAATAGTTTTTGTGTTATAGTCAAAAGAGGGCACATGACTGATGGGAAACACAAGCTGATAGGACCAGAAGTCTAGTTGATCACCTTGTAGCCCTTCTCAGGAAACAGAGAAGTTGGGCCAGGCTAAAAGTCTTCAAGGCCCATTAATTATGACTCACTTCCTCCAGGAAGGCTACACCTCCCAATTGTTCCACAATGGTCTTGACAACAACAACAGCACCTGGGGGAAAATACACAACTGCAGAATATAAAGCAAGAACTGATGCTGGAAGTAAGACATGATCGTGAGATAGGATTGGTTTGAAGAGAGAAAACAATATGAAATACCATCAGGGAGCATAAAAGGTAAGTTGAATTGGGGCATTGGAGAGATTGTTTGGCAGTTGAGAACATTTGCTATTCTTGTGAGGAGTCTGAGATTTGTTCCTGGCACCTATATCAGCCAGCTCACACCCTCACCTCTAGCTCAGTGATGTAGGAAGGTCATCCATCTATGTGTTACTTTCATTGGTTAAATAAAGAAACTGTCTTGGTTTTTTGATAGGGTAGGATTTAGATAGGTGGAGTAGACTGAACAGAGGCTGGGAGAAAGAAAGCAGAGTCAGGCAGATGCCATGCTTCTCCTAACCAAAACAGACAGTGGTTAGACTCATGATGGTAAGCCACAATCAAATGGTGATACACATTAATAGAAATGGGTTAATCAAGATGTGAGAGTTAGCCAAACAGAGACTAGATATAATGGGCCAGGCAATGTTTAAATAAATACAGTTTCCATGTAATTATTTTGGGATTTAACCAGGTGGCCAGGAGCTGGGAGGTGGAAAGTGGCCCATCGCTCCTTTTACAGAGTGGAGCCCTGTGATCCCACACTTTTCTCTGGCTTCAGAAGACACCTGTACTCACATGCACTTGTCACACTCAGGTACACATGTTTATACAAACTTCTTTTTAAAAAAAATTAAAAGGAAGAATAGAGTTGGTGAACTGAGTAAGAACACTCTGAGCACCAGACAACATTAGAGGCCAATGGAGACTCTGAGGTGTGAATTTGGTCTGGAATCAGCTAGTATAGTTGAGCAGAGAGAGTTGAAATTCAACCAGAGCTGTAACTTTGCCAACTGATGCCTAATAGTGCATAAACTCTCAAAGTATATGAGGTCCTATAGTCTAGAGCTGGTCTCCAGAAAAAGCCTCTACTATCCTCCAAAACATGATTGCTGTGGGATATCATGTAAAGATTTGCCACTTGTATTGGTTTAATAAGGTGCTGATTGGCTAGTAGTCAGGCAGGAAGTATAGGAGGGGGTGGGGGAGCAGACTATGAGAATTCTGGGAAGAGAAAAGGCAGAGATGCAGTTATAAGAAAGACACTGAGGAAGTAAGATGAAAATGCCATACTGAGAAAAGGTACTAAGCCACGTGACTATATNAAATTATGGATTAATTTAAGAGTTAGAAATAAGCCTGAGCTAAGAGGCCAAACAGTTTATATTTAATATAAGCCTCTGTGTGTATCTTTGGGATTGAATGACTGTGAGACCAGGTGGGACAGAAACTCTTTCTACACATGCTGGCCTTCTACCTCCTTTAAAACTGCCCCAACCCAAACAAAGGCCTCCCCTACTTGTCATTTCTCTTATTTCAACTTGAACTCTTCCAGTTGTTTTTCCTTATCTTCCACCTCAGCTATCATGCTCCATCCTCAGAGAGACCTTACCACACTACTTTCCTTCCTGCCTGCGTCCCCTTCTTCATCTCTTACAAGTTGTTACGCTTGGAACTGTATTCTGTCCTTCATTTGGTTTTGTCTTCCGCTTCTACCATGCTGAGAGCAAAGACCTTAATGGTAACATTTGTTTGTTACTGAACTCACTACCTAAAATGCTAGGTGGGATCTGCTAGTCTAAAGATAAACTTTAAGTTCATGAATTATTACTGCCTGTATATTCAATCTAGTCAAGTGAATAAAGATACACAACTGAAATAAGATTTCCAAAGTTTATGGTTCATTAGGGAATTCTTATATGATGTTGAAAATAGGGTCAGATCAGGAAAGAAATGGAGGCTTCCCCACAAATGCTTGGGACCCACACCTTGTACTTATAATTGTCTTATTTCCTTTATGATATTTTACAAAGAAAAATAATATCAATATTTACCCTCTTCTTGCCCATAGAGACAAAAGCTAAATAAAAGTGTAAACAATTATATTCACTATACAGACTTCAGAGTCCTCCTCCTCCGAGACAGTTAAAATACAACACAATTCTCTATTTTTTAAAAAATATTATTCATTTTAGAGTACTGTTCCTGTTGGCTGTTTTCTCAATACCTTTATTTAGCCATTTTCCTGTTCAAAATTCTGGCATTTCCCTGATGTGTTAATTTTAGCTGTAAACACCTAATCAGACCTTTAAGAATAATTTGTAGCTTGGCTAACTTTCTGGAAGAAATATGAGTGGTGTTTCCAAGAGGCTGGCATGTCTCCAATTATAAAGATGGAGAAAATAAAAACAACAGGATGGTAAAATGCATCAAGGAGCAGATCGCATTTTGTAGGGGAAGATAACGTTGTTTAGTTTCAGTCTTCAAGTCTTGCAATTATTCTCAGCACCACAGCATCCCATGGGTCTCAGCATCAATATTTATTTGCTGGGATACTTCACTGCCTCATAAACTAGGAGGTAACGGACCATTTTTATTCTCAGGGGTTGGGAGTCATACCGCTGAGTTTCCCAGAGTGCCATATCTCCCTCACATTTCTGTGAATGGGTTCTCACAAAGATGCAAATGGATCAGTAAGAAGCATTGGCCTGTGTGTGCTTGTCCCCTGGCTTAGCTATCAACCATTTCTAAATTTCCATTAAATATAATTCAACTCAAATTGAGGCTTTGGTTATCAAAATTTTAAGGTTGTCTGGTTTGGGTTTTGGTTTCATATAAACTTCTAAAATCTTTATGGGGAGGAATCATACCATTTAAAACATTAATTTTGAAACTGGTACTCTTGCAAAATGTAAAAAGAAAGATGTCTAAATATACAATATCTTTGGGGGCCTTTAAAACTTGCAAAGAAATCCTACACTAAATAATCAGAAGCAGTGAGTACATCTCACTGTTGCATTAAGGCTGCTTCATGAGAACAAGAGTCCTGTGGAGCCCACGGTGGTGTTTTCTGTCTCAATTTCTTAGACTTCCCAGGACATATAAAGTTATGTATAAATGTATTCCCTAGAGGAATCCTAGTCTTTGCATATCTTCTCTCCAAGTTACCTAGATGCCCCCCCTCCCAAACGTTTTATCCAATTCATACCTTTCATCTCTGCTATACTGCTGTGCAGAATTCAGGCACTGGACCAGAAACATCTCAACCATCAGATTGTTAGTCATGTATTTCAACAAGCAAAGTCTCTCAATAAATTGGCTGGTTCACACATTAAGCTCCATAGTACTGTGTTTTACAGGGTGTGTGTGTATGTGTTTCTGTCTGTCTGTCTCTGTCTCTCTATGTTCCTTTTCCTCTATCTTTACCCCTCCCTATACTCTCTCTACATGCACACATGCATGCGTACAGACACACATACATACACATTACTTCTTTTATACCAACCTCTGTTATTCACACATATACACATAAGAAGTCTAAAAAGATGTAGATTGAAAAACAAAGAAACTGTTTATATGATTTCCCAAAGATTCTGATATATTAGTGTGCACTAGCCATAATGAAGAACATGATATAGGGTGTAGTATTTTCCAAACAGACATGGCCACTGGCCTTGTTTGAAAAGAAAAATCTTTCATTTCCACAGTTATTGAGTCCTACCTATTATGCAGCATCTCCTGGCTTGAACAGCACACAGCAAGATGAGTAAGATATTTCCCCTACCCTAAAGAAGTTTATACTTCAGAAATCACATCTTATTCACTAGAAATGTACCCTCCAGAAAGATGGTAACTTTCCAGACAGGGATCCCTAAGTTGGGTTAAGTAAAGGAATAAAGAATTAAACATTCTTAACTCCAATAGAAAGGAGACCTTGAGAGAGGAGGAACAACTACTTGTTTGTTTGTTTGTTTGTTTGTTTGTCTTCCCTCTTGTCCTCTCGGTTCCTCCTCTACAGTCCCCCTCCCCCAATTCCCATACCCCCATCCAGTCCTCCTCTGTTTCTGTTTAGAAAGGAGCAGGCGTCCTGAGAGCATCATCAAAGCACAGCACATCAAGTAGCAGTAAAACAAAGCACCTCCTCATGTAACCCAGTAAGAGGAGTAGTCTCCCAAAGCCAGCCAAAAGATTAGGTTCAGCCCCTGCTCCCATTGTTAGGAGTCCCACAAGAGGACCAAGTTACACAACTGTCACATAAGTGCGGCGTCCTAGGTCAGTCCTATGCAGGCTCCCTAGTTGTCAGTTCAGTCTCTCTGAGTCCCTATGAGCCCAGGTTAGTTGATTCTGTGGACAGATTTTCTAGTGTCCTTGACCTCTCTGGCTCCTATAATCCTTTCTCACCCACTTGATTCCCAGAGCTCCACCTAGTGTTTGGCTGTGGGTCTGCATCTGTTTCCATCAGTTGCTGGATGGAGGCTCTCTGATGACTCTTGAGATGTTGGAAAGGAGGACCAAAGGAAAGAACAATAGAATACATGGGACACAGAAGCAAAAAGGGGCTATTTGGAGAAGGGCAGGAGGCCAGAGAAAGGAGGGTTGGGGAAATGGTTAATATTAGTGGGGTGGAGGAAAATGACAAAGCGAAGTGTCATCTAATCAAGGAAACAGCAGAATCAACCCTGTTACTTTCTAGACTTGCAAATTTTATTTTTTTTAAAGTTCTCAGTTCCTTAGAGGTACTGTCATATTTTGAGATCTGAAATAGCCACATAGTGACCAAGAGCCACCTTATTGCATGGTGCAAATATTATTTCCCCCATTGTACTATTCTCTATTGAGCAGAATTGTTCTAGAACATTCTGTTGCATCTGTTAATCCTACACTAGACAATATGACAATTCATGTTTTATATAACTGTTATTTCAAAGAACATAACTGTTTTCCACAATTTATCCAACTACTTTCTGTATTTGCCCTCATAAAATCTTAAGAAACTTCTCTCTTAATAGGTGAAAGTATTCATAGTTCTATTAATTTTTGTTTTATTTTCTTTCTTTTATTGAAAATTGGTTCCTTTTAATACAATGTATCTGATAATGATTTCCCCTCAACCCAACTCTTCCAATATCCCTTCTGTCTCCCTTCCCAGCCAAATCCTTCCTGTCTCTCATTAGAAAAACAGGAGGGCATATAATGAGTAATAATAAAATAAACAAAAACAAATCAGAATTGAAAAAAACAGACAGAAGGAAAAAAGCCAAAAGAAAAAACAAAAGAAACACATACAGACTTAGAGATATACACATGTTTGTGCACACAGGAATCCCAAAGAATGCGTTTTAAAGATGAAAAAACTTGAATTTGAAGAAATTGAGGACCACGTATTTCTGAGTCAGGTGAGTATTCAAAAGCCAAAAATCAAATTCAAATCATTTTATCTCTAAAATTGATGTTCTTCCTACCACAAGATACCTGTGGCCCTTGTAAAACCATAATAACATGTCATACCAGAGAACATATCATTTTTGCAGCCCCTAACGTATGTAAAAATAATTCAGCTCTAAATCTTTGTTCAGTGTTCTCCAGTTGTGTATCAATGACTCTGAGAGGGTGTCACGATTTTCAGAAGTTTTCATTAGATATAGGGTCATTTCATTTTCTGTTTGAATCTATACACTTTCTCCAATTATTGTTTTCTTCATAGGTAGAAATATTACAAAACAAGTTTTCCCTACACCAACCATTGAATATACAGAGTTCCTATCACTATATCGCAATAAAACTCTGAATTAAGAGCAAAGTTGGAATTTTCCAATCAAGCTGAAGATCACAGTTGCAAGGATGGATGTGGTTTTTAAAAGAGCACATTTTGAGTGGGTGTGTCAGTGTCTTGATGGATTGAAAAATTTAGGAATATTTATGAAATCTCTCATTTATGAATACATTGTCAAAGTAGTATGCTGTTGAACTTAGTCACACTGTTCAAGGAGACTGTGAAAGAGCAGTTCAGAAAACAACAAAGAGTAGAGTCTTAGGGATCCGATGCAGAGGGGGTTTCTTTTGAAGATTCAGGGAGAGTTTGTTTGTTTTGGATGTGTGTATTTCATAATTTTTGTTTCTTTGTTTCTTTTTTTACCTGACATTAGATGATCACATGTACCACTGTACCACTTGGATTTTACATGAAATTTCAGGACATTGACTTATAAATAGGATGATAGATAGAACTTTTTAGTCTTTTAATACAGAAGGGAGAAAAGATTCCTCCATAACACAGGCATGTAGATTAGAGAGTTTTGTTATTTCTTTTTCTGAGATTATAATATATTTACATAATGTAGACCTTTGATTTCTTCCCTTCCAACCCTCTTATCTATCCCTCCTTGCTCTCAATGGTCTCCATGGTCTCAAATCCTTCACCTCTTTTTCATTGTTACTCTATAGATATGTGTGCATGTAAACAGAGGTATAAAGTGTTCCTAAATAAATAAATGCAACCTGCCTATGATGTTACTTGTATATATGTTTTCAGAGTTTAGGATTAGATAAACAGTTGGCATGATCCTCCTGGAGAAGACTACTTCTAGTCTCAGTGTTTCCTTGCTTGCTCACAGTACTTTGTGCAGATTTGGGGCCCCCTGTGCCCTCCTCTGTTTACTTGAACATGCCTCTTGTTGTCATCCTTGCTCAGCTCATGTTTTAGACTAATTGGACTTAAGATCCACTCAACAAGAAGGAACTCATGCCTTGAACTGGAAGTTATCAACCTAGCCAGAGACAGTGAAGTCATGGATCTAGTAAACAAGCTACAACTGACACTCTACTAAACCAGCATACCTCCTAATTACCTTCTAAACATATTGTCCTTGTGCCCACAAATAGGTGTAGTCCTCTCCCCTCAGCAAAGAAACTTGGCTTTGTGACAGACAGAGACCAATTTAGAGAGTGTTTAAAAGCCCTTCTTCAATGTGCTGAACCTGTTGGCACAAGACAGTTGCTGAGGTGGAATTAGTATTGTCGTTCATCTGCATCTCGGCATTTCCCAATGGGAATCTCAAGCCTTCAAAGGAAGACACAGTGGCTTCCATTCAAGAAGGCTGAGTTGAAAAGAGAGAAATGGGTCCCTTGTGGAAATCAGCAAAGTTATAGGAAATCTGCACATAAAATTCCATTTGTCTCAGTTAGCAGGATTTTTTTTTTACAAGGTGGTTGTAGAATGAATGTATTGCAAACTCTAACTGGTCTTAATTAAAAAAAAATAAAAAATAAAAAACAGAGTCAGATATTGGGGTAAATGCTGAAAGATGAGAGTAAGTAGAGGAGCCAGCCACTAAAGAGACCTTTTATCTCTACTGAATCCTCAGACAAAAGTAGACAAGATCCTGTCTCCACAAATCCTCAAACTGAAGGCCTTGAGATCCTGTCTCCTCCCTCTTTATAGTCCTCTCTCCACTCAGCCATATCCTCTCCTGTCTCCGCCTCCCTAGTGCTGGGATTAAAGACAAGAGATTCCCAACTACAGGGATTAAAAGTGTGAGCCACCACCGCCTGGTTGTTTCTCTTTGAGACTGTTTCAATCTAATATAGCCCAGGGTGGTCTTGAACTCAAAGAGATCCATCCGTCTCTGCTTTCCTTGTGCTGGTATTAACAGTATTGCCACCACTGCCTAGTTTCTATGGCTAACTAGTGGCTTGCTCCACACTCTGATCCTCGGGCAAATTTTATTTCTTATAGCACAATCAAAATGTCATTACAAATGGTGTTAGGATCTGGCACATGTCTCTATCATAGAGCACTTAGCAACATGCACAAGGCCTTGATTTCTATTCCCAGCACCAAATGTATAAATTATTGAGTTCTTTAAAAACAGGTACTTACAGAGTTTTAGAGTTACTCATTGCATTAGTCAGGGGTCTCTAGAGGAATAGAACTGATACAGTAGCATATACTACAAAATAAATGTATTAGTTTTGCTCACATAGTGTGTTCTGAGTAGTCTAACAATAATGGTTGTCTTTGCCTTGGAGAGACTGAGAACTGAGCCTGCATGCCTAAGGATTCCCAACCTGGCACTGAAAGTTAGAAACTTCCTGAAGGAAAGACACTTTCAGTCCATGTTGAGAGTGTCCTGATGTTTATGAAGCATCAAAACAGCAGCAGCAATAACCCATGTAGTAGTAGTAGTAGTAGTAGTAGTAGTTGCTGTTGTTTGTTCTTACTATATGTTCTTTACTCTTTGAGTGGCCCGCCTCCCACCTCCCAAATAACCACATACTTAAACTTATTCTTTCTTATGAATGTCTGGCCTTAGCTTGGTTTATTTCTAGCCCGATTTTCTTAATTTAAATTATCCTGTCTATCATTTGCCTCTGGGCTTTTACCTTTCTATATAATTTCATTTACTTCTTACTCCATGACTGGCTGTGTAGCTGGGTGGCTGACCCCTGACGTCCTCCTCTCCTTCTCCTTCGTTTGCCACTCTATTGAGCTCTTCTTTTCTCCTTATATTTATTCTCTCTGCCTGCCAGCCCTGCCTATTTCTCTCTCCTGTCTAGCTATTGGTCACTCAGCTCTTTATTAGATCAATCAGGTGTGTTAGGCAGGCAAAGTAACACAACTTCACAGAGTTAAACAGATACAACATAAAAGAAGGAAACACAGCTTTACATCATTAAATAGATGTTCAACAGCATAAACAAATGTAACACTTCAGCTACTATTCCACAACAAACACTTACGTCATGATGAATTTGTTTCCAGAGCCAATCCATTTGACAATCAAGATTAACCTTTCCAGACACACTTTATAAGATTACAAAACAAGATCCAATAAATAAACAGAAAACAAAGCAATCAATGTAAAAGTTTAGGCCAAGAGACTAAGGACAAGGCTTGTGGCTCAGTAGTAGAGTGGTTCCCTACCATTTGTGAGGTCCTATGTGAGATCCCCAGCAGCAACGTGGGGGAATGTGTGTTAATAACATAGGTTAATATCCAGACAATCTGGCATATATTTCCTAAAATAAGTATTCTCCAGTATGCTTCCAGATAGATGGACCCAACAGTATCAAAGACCTACCCATCAAAATCTCTTACAAAGTTCTTTCTATTTCCCCTTTGGTAAACTAAATGTTAATGACTGCAGCAACCATGAGAGTTTTATATCAGCACATCCTGATCATACAAACCCAAATAATGTCAGAGCCTCCACCCTCTGTGTCCTCAAAAAGAAACCTGCGCTGCTGAACCTACCTACCAGAGACTGCTGCATAGACAAAAAGCAAATTCTTATTAGCTTAATGCCATTGTCTATCAAAGTCTGTTTGGTACAACAATCAGCACGACCCTGGCAAATACAGACATGTGCATACAGGAAAAAAAATCAGGGTTTATCCTTCCTCAGCTCTAAGATTTGCATGCCATCTTTCAGGCATTTTTAATTCTTTATCTAAAGTTTTGAACTGCTTGAAAAACGTTAAGCTTTCTTTTACTTATGGTGTTTCATGGGGAACAATAAAGAGTGTAGGATCAGAGCATGACTAGAATTTTATTGATGACCCAAGGCAAAATAAAATTCAGCCTTCTCTTTTGCAGAAATATTAGATCTGCTGCTCTTTGGGCAGTAAAATCTTGTTTTGTCAGCAGCTACTGAGAGTAGATATGACTCAGAGGACACATAAGAGCCTGCATGTTAGGTAACTAGCTGTTATGCTTGGAAAACTTCTCTTTTCTTCTCTTGCAATGTAAGTGCACTTGGAATAAATAATCACATTGGCTCTCAGAAGGGAGATGCTCGAAAATGGTGTGCCCCTCTATCTGTGTCCTAATTCCTTAAGGTAGATGAGTGATATGAGACACAATAAATAAAAGACATGCATCAGATCACAAGCGTTACATAGGTGAAGGCCTTAAAGATCACTGAGTGTGACTCCTTTTACTACAGAAGAGAGAGAGGCCCAGAAGGAGTGAGGAAACTGCACAGAGTTCCAGCTGGAATTGGCGGTTCCTTCAGAAAGCTTGTTTTACGGCAACTCTCGGCTCTCAATGCTTTAGAACTGTGGTTCCCCGTCTGTTGCTGTGACATTGTTTTTATTTTTCCTTTATAAACTGATACTATAACATGAAGATTGCATTAGGCTAACAAAGCAACACTTCCAAGACCTAAGAATAAATAGCTGGTACATAGATGATGCTCAACAAATGCTGATTAGTTAAGGTTATTTCCTTCACTTTTGACATACTGGCACAATGGCCTTGTGGTCTAAAAGCTTAGAATTTTTATTTTTTAAGTATTTAGAAAGAGAGACAAGAGATAAAGATGAAGCATATTTTAGAATTTAAACATGCTTTAAAAGGCTTGTTCTTCTCATCTTAATATGGATGTGTGTGGATTTG